CGTCTGGGGCCTCGGGCGCCCACTGAAGCCTGCCCAGGGCACGCCCGACGCCTTCTTGGGGCCTACTGGGAGCATCTTGGGGCAGAACTCAAAATTTCGGTTCATGTTCCCCCCCTCGAGCCCATCTTGGGGCCGTCTCTAGGGCCTCTGAGGTCGTTTGGGGCGCCCCTGGGAGCGCCATGGAGCCCTGTCAGGCCGTCCTGGGGCCCTCCTGGGGGCCTCTTCGGCCGTCGTGGAATTTCGGGAACCCGACAAGTGGAGGACCCCGAAACCATGGAGTCGCCCTCCGGAAATCAAAGATCTGCGCCTCTCGGGGCCCTCGTCTGGGGCCTCGGGCGCCCACCGAAGCCTGCCAGGGGCAGGCCCGGCGCAGCCGGGACGCCTTCGGAGGCCTTGGGCGGCGCGCCAAAGGGGCAATGGAGGGAGGGGGGGGGGCTTCTCTTCGAGTGGCTGACATTTTGGGAGCCATCGACCACTGCGGGGTCCCTGGCGGGCACGCCCCTGGGGCCCCCGGAGACACTGTGCCAACCTGTGGCTGCGGTTCCAGGCCCGACCCAGGCCGAATACACATGTGTTTTTGTGTACATCTATCTGTGCGTGTAAGCATACACCTGTGCACAGTCCCACTAAACATATACATCGTGCATACATGATCTGTCGTACATAGTGAAGCAGATGTGCAAACTGAGTGTGCTTACATGTATGCGCACCTGCAACATCGATATACATATATGTATATATGTATGTATGTACATGTTTGTATGCATGCTCTGAGGAGTTGTGCCAGACAGCATCCTGCGCAGCGTCCTTGCCACCACCGCCACCATCACCACCAACATCATCGTTTTCGCCGCCGTCATCATCGCCAAAATCATCCGCATCATCATCATCATCATCATCATCATCATCATCATCATCAGCAGCAGCAGCATCATCATCATCATCATCATCATCGTCATCATCATCAGCAGCAGCAGCAGCAGCAGCAACAGCAGCACCATCATCAGCAGCATTATTATCACCATCACCCTCACCCTCACCATCATCAGCATCATGAACATTAACATCATCATCAGCACCAGCAACACAAACAACGGCAACACCAACACCAGCACCATCACCAACAACATCATACATGTCATCATAACATCAGCAGCAAGTATCACCATCATCATCATACCAGCATGATCCTCATCATAAGAAGCCTCAGCATCGCCCTGGGTCAGGCGAAACTGGGGGGTGAAACTGATGCGCGCGGAAGCGGCGAGCGGACTGGGGCAGCTTGTCGTTACCCCGTGGGGGGTGCCTTCCCCACCAGTCCATAGCCCTTCAGGCGTTCGTTTTGGCGGCGCGCACCGGGGGTAGGGGGTAGGGGGGAGGAGGAGGGGAGGGAGGAGGAGAGAGGAGGAGGAGGAGGAGGAGGAGGAGAGGAGGAGGAGAGGAGGAGGAGGGAGGGAGGAGGAGGAGGAGAGGGAGGAGGAGGAGGAGGAGGAGGAGGAGGAGGAGGAGGAGGAGGAGGAGGAGGAGGAGGAGGAGGGGGAGGAGGAGGGAGGCTCCTTAGAAGGAGGCTGCTTCTCAGGAGGCGCGGGCCCTACATCTGCAGAGGAGGCCCGCGCCTTCTCAGAACCAGGGGCGCTTCGAAGAAGCCCTCCTCCTACCCCCCCTTCTGCGCTTGGCTGTGAGGGATGGGGAAAAAGCGTGCACACCCTTCGTGCACCCTCTGGTTCGGGTGTTGCTAGAAGTGCCCCTGGCCCGAGGTGCCCCCAGCTTTTCGCTCCATTTTGGAGCCCCTGGGGCCCTCTGGGCCTCGTGAGGGGTGCCCTGGAGGCTGTCTGGGCCACCCCGAGAATCCTGGGGGTACCTTGGGCCAGGGGTATTTCTAGCAACCCCCGATTGTCGGCGGGCGAGGGGGGGACATGAGAAGGAGAAGGCCTTCTCAGAAGGCGGCGGGATTTCTACGAAGCCCTCGCGCCTTCTGAGACGATGTTCCTGTCTTCGGGAAGGTTTAGAACAGTTCTCAGAAGGCTGGGGGACTTCCGAGCCTTCTGAGAAGGCCTTCTCCTTCTCACTTCCCCCCCTCGCTCGCCGCCGAGATTGGTGCCCGGAGTGGCAGTCTGGAGGCCCATTTGGGAACCCCTTTGGAAGCCACCTGCCTCCGCCCCCCGCGAGGCCCCCACGCCGCACTCTGCTGCCCGCCCCTGCGGTCTCCGCCCCGGTCTGTGGCCACCCCCGTGGACGGGAAGGACCGTGACCATGGTGAAGGGGGCCCAGGGACACACACACACACACACAACTTCCCTGCGACGTACCCAACACATTTGCATCAAGCGACGGTCGGGGGCCCCCAAACGGGGTGCTGACCACACCGTGTGGTGAGTCGGTGGGGCTTCGGGGTCACCACACGGTTGTGTGACTCGGGTCCCTCCCCGAGGACGTCTCGGGCGACTGGGTCATCCGAGGTCCCAAAACTGTGCGCTGACGGACCGTGCGGTGAGGTCTTGGGGGATTTGGAGGTCACCGCACGGTCTGTCACTGTACCGTCTCGGGACTCCAAAGACAAGAGGAGTTGAACCAAACTTGCCGGGACAATGACAACGCAGTTGCCGCCATGTCTTGTGCAAGCTACATGGGACGCGAGCTCGCGCGGCACGGTTCACAGGACAACAACAGAAAGACGAGGAGCGAGGGCCCAGAATTGAGGAAGACATGGGGGCGGGAACGACGGGCAGGAGAAGGACGCGCGGGGGGCCGAACCGTCAGCGCAGCAGCAGCAGAGGGAAGGTGGCAGGGGGCAGAGGACGACGAAAATGATGGGAGAAAACCGAAAAGTGTTGCTTGTGTCGGTAGTACCCCAAACATGCAACGCTGCCTGCGCCATGTCACGTGTCGTCCGCCGACGCGGCAGCACGTGCCGGAACTCGTCCCCCCGTTCCTCCTCCTCCTCCTCCTCGTCTTCCCCCTAATTACTCCTCCTCGTCTTCCCCCTCATCCTCCTCTCTGCCTCCTCCTCCTCCCCCGCCGCCTGTGGACCCCTCAAAATCAATCGCTGCACCGCTGCCGGGATTCTGACGACCCCGCTGGAATTCGAGACACCCCCAGGTAATAGAAAAAGGCGTCACTCCGCTGGGCCCCAGGGATGGCGAGGTCTCGTGGCGGTCCGCGTAGGACGCTACTCCGGTGGACCGCCCAGCAGCTCTCGAAAGTGGCGACACTTTCGCATATCGCAGCCCCCCAGGGACGGCCAGGTAGGAGTCAAGCTGGCACGCAGAAGAAGCGAGGTGAGAGGCGGGAGAGCAGAGGAGAGGAGGAGGGAAAACGGGAGGCGGAGAAGACGCGCGTGCGCAGTGCTCGAAATAGACCAGAACATTGTGAAATAATTAAACGCAACTCCCATGATTCCCCGAATTTTGTAACATGTTCTCGATTTTCGTCGTCCCCCCACTTCCCATATTTTCTAATTTTCCTGGGGATCAACGTTTATTTGTGACTGTGTATATTTTCCACTCTTGACAAGACTGAGCGTGGAAACGCCAGTGTCGATCTTGGTAATCGTCAATCTTGGTCACCGTCGATTCGTGCATCATCCTTGTGCAATCGGCGACGGCCAGCATGCACCGTGACCAAGATCGGCGTCGATCAGAGCGAGCGACAACGTGGCCAAGGTCGTCTTGCTTCTGCTCTCGACAGAGGAACGACAAAAACTAATCAACTTTGGGAAGCCCGCGCGGACTTCTTCGTGGATCTGCGCCAGACATCTCCCTGGCGCGCGGAGCGCGCCAGGGGCGACGCCGGAGGCGCCGCCAAGAGGGGCCCGGCGCCGACCCAAGAACCAAGAAATCCGCGCGGACCGTCATCGTCGTCGCCGCCGCCGCCGTCGTCGTCGTCGTCGTCGTCGCCGTCGTCGTCGTCGTCGTCGTCGTCGTCGTCGTCGTCGTCGTCGTCGTCGTCTCCGCCATCGCCGCCGTCGTCGTCGTCGTCGTCGTCGTCGCCGTCTCCGTCGTCGCAGTCGTCATCGTCTTCGTCGTCGTCGTCGTCTTCGCCATCGCCGCCGTCGTCGTCGTCGTCGTCGCCGTCGTCGTCGCCGTCGTCTTCGCCGTCGTCGTCGCCGTCGTCGTCGTCGTCGTCTTCGCCATCGCCGCCGTCGTCGTCGTCGTCGTCGTCGTCGTCGTCGTCGTCGTCGTCGTCGTCGTCGTCGTCGTCGTCGTCTTCGCCATCGCCGCCGTCGTCGTCGTCGTCGTCGTCGCCGTCGTCGCCGTCGTCGCCGCCGCCGCCGTCGTCGTCGCCGCCGCCGTCGTCGTCGTCGCCGCCGTCGCCGTCTTCGTCGCCGTCGCCGCCGCCGTCGCCGTCGCCGCCGTCGCCGTCGTCGTCGCCGTCGTCGTCGCCGTTGTCGTCGCCGTCGTCGTCGCCGTCGTCGCCGTCGTCGCCGCCGCCGTCGCCGTCGTCGTCGCCGTCGCCGTCGTCGCCGTCGTCGCCGTCGTCGTCGCCGTCGTCGTCGCCGCCGTCGTCGCCGTCGTCGTCGCCGTCGTCGTCGTCGCAGTCGTCGTTGTCTTCGTCGTCGTCATCGTCGTCGCTGCCTTCGTCGCCGGGCCTGCTGGCCCAAGGCGGCGTTTCCTTCTCTCGCGCGACCCGCTCCGCGTCGCCGAGGGTGCCCGCGCGCCGGCGCGCGCGCGGCACTCTCTCTCTCCGCCCCGCGCCCTCGCTCGGACGGTCACTCCCCCCTCGTGCGTGTCTTCGGCCTCGCGCGCGGCGTTCTCCGGCCATCGCTCGGGCGTCCACTCCCCGTGTTTTTTCGGCTTCGTGCGTGAATCTTTCGCCAAACGATCAAGGATGCGCCTCGACGGTTCTCTCGCCGAAGGAAACAAAAAACACACGTCCGAGCGAGGCCAGGTTGTCGCAAGATGCTCCAGGAGGCGCCTCGATAATCCTCGCCGAGGAAGAATGCGCACGACCGAGCGATGCCGAGGCCCGGGGCTCTCGCGCGGCACGGCGCCCGGGCGGGGTCACCGGGGCGGCTTCCGTCGTCTCCTCGGCCGGGCTCTTCGCGGGCGGGTGGGGTATCCGCAGAGAGGCGGCGTGGCGGGCAGCTCCACGGCAGTTCGCTCTCCTGGCTCCCGGGGCCACGACGATGTGGTGGTGCGACTGGCTCGGGGTCCAGTCGAGGTGCTACCCTTAGGTCGGGCATGTCCCCCTGCAGGCGGATTTGGTACGAAAAATCATAAACAGTCAAAACATGCTCAAACAATCGTCAAAACCAGTCAAAAAATAATCCCCAGACTATTTTCTGACTACTCCTCCTGTAGAGGGACACGCCCGACTTACTACTGCCCGAAGGAACGCGAAATAAGGAACGAGGTCCCTCTTCGGTCCCAGAAGCGCCTGGGTGCACGAGGAGGGCTGTAGAGGAACAGCCATGCAAGGACCCGAGGAACATCGAGCCCCTTGCCTCAGCGTCTTGGCTCTACGCGGCAGGAGCTCTGGAGCACGTGGCGGCCCTCGTCTCTGGAGTCCGCACGGGGCCAGGCCTGAAAGCGCCACTGGCCCTGGGGCGCTTGTGGTTTCAAGGAGTGAGCTGTTCCACCAAGGACTAGCCACCACGATGTGTCTATAATGAACTGGCGCACACAGCGAACAACGAATCGCGGCCCAACGCTTACAACGAACGTTGAAGACGAAACTGGTGCCAGACGAACACGGACGACGGCACCAGGAGGAGGAGGAGGAGGAGGAGGAGGAGGAGGCGGAGGCGGAGGAGGCGGAGGAGGAGGAGGAGGTCCAGCTCCTTCCGAAGACAAGCACAGGCAGCCCGCAGAGTACCCATCGGTCGTTGAAAGGAAGGTATTCTTGGCTTCGCAGATTCCAATATACTTTGAGCGCCTTCCTATTTCAACGATCGAATGGCTTCCCCTTTTTCCGTCCTCCTTCGGGGGCGGGCGCAGCCCGTTCTACTCTCAACGCCTTCCTGCTTCATGTTTCTACCTATTTCTTCCGACCGATGGGTAAGGATGAGCAGCTTCCCAACGTTGCCCGTGCATCCTTGTTCCTTCGGCCCATCCTTGGGGATTTTCGCAGGCCAGCCCCGTTCGAAAACGCCATCGCGTCCTTCCAAGGCCCTTGCATACTTACCGCGCATCCTTATTATACGGATTGACTGCAAGAACTCCTGAGTGCAAGCGCCTTTGTGGGGAACCGCGAACATGCCGTCGTGATCGTGGTCGTGGTCGTGGTCGTGGGTCGTGGTTGCAATCTTGATCATGATCGTGGTCACGATGCGAGTCGGAAACGTAAGTACGAGCTTAGTGACTCTCCGATGATACAAAAGCAGGGTGCGAGCCCCAGGGGAAACACTTCAATTGAAAAACCCAATGGTCGCAGGACGGGGGGATGAACAATATTTATGCATTCTTCAGTAGTCAGCATTCAACAACAACAACAGCAACAGCAACAACAACAACAACAACAACAACAATAACAGCAGCACTAGCAACAGCAACAACAAATAACGAAACGAAAACACAACAAGGGCCCAAACCACTCTGAACATCGTTGTGGTCGATCCCTGGAGTTATTCCACTTTCCTTCTTCCTGGGGTAGGCTTGCCTCTGCCCCTACGTCCCCTCCCTGGGTCTGGAAAGGGAGGGTGGTCGAGAGGGGTTCGAGCGTCCAAGGTGGCTCAAGATGGCCTCCAGGATGGTGCAAGATGGCACCAGATTGCCTCTGACATGCCTCCCGTGGGCCCCAAGACTGCCCAAGACGATTCCAAGTGTTCACGGAGTCTGCTCAGGACCCCCTCGTAAGGTCCATTACACCAGAGGATACCCCAGTCAATGGATTGTAGAATTTGTCGCAGGTGCCTCAATCGGCCTTCTTCCCGCCCGAATCAAATTCAAATCTACGTTTTAGTTCAGTCTAAATATTGTATGCTCCTCTCTCTTTCCCGTTCTCTCTCTCTCTCTCTCTTCATGGTTGTGTCTCTCTCTCACGCTCTCTCTCTCTCTCTCTACATATATATGTATACATACATACATACGGTTACCCCCTAGATCTTCTGGTGCACAAGAATGTACACATTATATATGTGCCTACACGCACTTTATCTTTGTGTGTGTGTCTCTCTCTCTCTCTCTCTACTCCGCCTCTCATGCGTATGTATCATAGTTGCTTGGCCCCCTCTCTCTCTCTCTGTTTCCCCCTCCCCTCTCGCTTCCTCTCTCTCTTTATCTCCCTCTCTTTATACATGTCGGAAATTGGGGGGGGGTGAAATCGCAGTGAAACGGAGACCCCCCACTGGGATATTGGTTTCGGATTCACGTTCGTGTCGCGCATGCGGGCGAGGCGAAGCTGCGTGGGCGGGGCGAGAGGAATGACCTCACCGCTGCCAGGGCGAAGCCGAACCAAACGTTGCTGTCCCCTGGGTTAGCAAACAGTGGCCTCGTGGTATCCCGATAGTGTCCCGTTGGTGTCCCAAAAGTGTCCCGATGGTGTCCCGTGGTCGTGGCGCGCGGGTCTCCCGTGCTATGTCATATGCTGTGCACTGTCATGCTAGCGGTAGTGAGATGGATAGTGCGATTGATACTGAGATCCATTGAATGAGATCGAAAGTGAGATCGATCGTGAGATCGATAGTGAAATTGGTAGTGCGGTCGATTGAGTGAGATCGACGCCAGGATCGATAGTGAGATCGATCGGGAGATGGATAGTGGAATCGATTAAGTGATCGATAGTGAATTCGATCGAGAGATCGATACTGTGTTCAATAGTGGTATCGATGGTGATATCGATTGAGTGAGATCGACCGTGAGATCGATGTGAGATAAATAATGATATCGATAGTGAGATCGATAGTGGCATCGATGATGAGATCGATCGAAATACTGATAGTGAGAGCGATCGTGAGATCGATCGTGAGAGCGATCGTGAGATCGATCGTGGGATCGATGGTGAGATCGATGGTGATATGGATAGTGTGATCGACAATGAGATCGATAATGGGATCGATAATGGTATCGAGAATGAGATCGGTAATGAGATCGATTGAATGCGATGGATAGTGGAATCGATAGTGAGGACGATTTTATGGTCGATCGTGAGACTGATAGTGAAATCGATTTAATGAGATCGATCGAGAGATCGATCGTGAGATCGATGGTGAGATCGATCCTGGTATGGATAGCGGAATCGACAATGAGACCGAAGAGAGATCGATAGAGAGGTGGGCAATGAGATCGATGGTCAGACCGATCGATGAGAAGATCAACCAGGAGCCTGGGAAATCGAGAACCCCGCCGCCCACCGAAATCGGCCCGGGAACAAGGAGCCCAGGAAGCCGGAATCAGGAACCAAAAAACCTGGCCGCCCACCCCACCGAGATCGGCCCGGCACCTTCGCCAAATCTTTCCATCTCCGCTCGGGCCCCTTCCGTGCAAGCACTCATTCGGGAGTGTCCGCTAAGACCACTTCAATGCAGGCACGGATCGGGGAAACCCCGTCCAAGACCCAGGCAAAACAGCGTGCTGTCTTCTCGCCTTGTCGCCTCGCCGACACATCGGCGACAGACCCCCAATACTAGGATGATCCAACTTACTTTAGCCTTGATCACCGGAAAGAGTTTCGAGCACAAACAACAAGCACCGAAACACGTAGGTTTTCACGTGTCGGGCCATGGGAGACACTCGTCCGACACTGTTTCGACACTCTTTCGACACTTTTCCGGGTGCTCGAGATTACTTCTGGGATGTGGCCCTTAAGTTTCGGTCGGGCATGTCCCCCTACAGGCGAATTTTGAAGGAAACGCTGAGAATACGGAGAAAATGCTTGAAAAAGCACCCCAAAATCATCCAAACATCGTCCCCCGACGACTTTCTGACCATTTTGGACTACTCCTCCTGTAGAAAGACAGGCCCGACTTAACCCAAGCACGAGGGGAGCAGCAGGGCCCCGACCAGGGCTCCGCGCAGTCCTGGTCGGAGGGCACCAACTATACACCAACACCGATCCTGGCCCAGGATCACCCTGGGCCCAGGATCGGTGTATATGCCTTCTTGCGCGAGGCAGGAGGGCGTATACACCGATCCTGGGCCCAGGGTGATCCTGGGCCAGGATCGGTGTTGGTGTATAGTTGGTGCCTTCCTATCCTGGGCCAGGTGGGGGCACTAGGCCCGCATCGGCGACGCACGGGCGACGGCGGGTCGATGTGTCCCTTCGCCGAAGCCGCCCCCCCCTCTCGGACGACGCTGCCCCCGTCGTACTTGAGGGCCACAGACCGGAAGCAATTTCGAGCACCCGGAAACTAGAAAGCTGAAGATCCGTCCCGATAGTAACCACCCCAACGCGCGAAGCCGTTTAGTAAGCGCACCCGAAGAAGGAATCAAACAGGGCAAAGCTGTTCAGTAAACGCCCAGGCCCGTTTAGTAAACGCCGGTTGTCCGGTCCGGGTGATTTTTCCGCCCACAAGAAACTCTGCCTCCACCTCCTCTTCCCGAGCTCCTCACCCTCCTCCTCCTCATGCGGTTCCTCCCCCTGCTCGTCCTACTTCTCCTCCTTTTACCTCGTCGTGGTCAACGTCCTCATCTTCAGGGTCGGCGGCACCAGCCGTAAGGCCTTCGCAATAATTTCGAGCAGCACCCGGGAAAGTGTCGAAACAGTGTCGGACGAGTCTCTCCCAGGGCCCGACACGTGAACCCCCCCCGAAATTCGGTACATTCTTTCTGGTGATCAAGGCTCAAGCAGGTTGGAACATCATAACTCTCGAATATCGTTGCCCCTGGCTGGGGGGGCGGGGAGCAGGGAAAGCGCCGGACGCCGCGGTCCAGGAGGGGAGGCGAGCAGGAAGAGAGGAACATCATGTGAGCGTTTTTTTATTCGGCTTTTCGACATTGGGCGGCAAGGGGGGGGAGGGGGGGGGGCTGGCTCCAGACCTCTGCTTAGTGCTACTGTTTGCGACAGTGCGTCCTATGGGGGGGATACTCTACCCGCTCGAAACAGTCGCCGAAAACAGCCAAGATCCACTCCAGGGGGAGGGGGGGGGTCCGAAGGGCCCGCGCGGACCGGCAAAACAACCAATAAAAAAAACGATCACCATGTGGAAGCCTGCGTGAGTGGCGGGTAATTGAAATCAGAGCGATCTGGGAATCGGCCGCAGCGGGAACACTTGGGATCTGAGAGACAAGGGGTGAGGAAAGCGGCGCGCGTTTTTTTCGGCTTGTGAGATTTTGTCAGCTTCTTCGGGATGGCGGCCGTTACCGACCCCGCCCCTTCCTGGTAATGTCACGATCTGTGCCGGCGCTCCTGGGAATGCCTAAGGGTAGCCAAAAAACTCGAATGGCAGATTCCGGCTGGGATCTGCTGCGTGACAAAGCGTGTGCCGCGCCATGGTGTGGCTCTACCTTCTCCCTTCCCGCCTCCTCCTCCTCCTCATCCTCCTCCTCTTCTCTTCCTTGTCCTCCTCCTCCTCTTCCTCCTCCTCCTCCTTTCGCCCTTTCGCTATTGGGCGGCCGCCCGCTAACACGGGCGGACGCCGCTCCTCCTTGGCCGCGCGCCGCGGCCTTCTCAGTACCCGAGCACGAAGTGGTTGTACTCGGTCTCCCTCATGAACTGCTGGCGCTGCAGGCCCACGAGAGAGCGCAGGAGGTGCCCGTTGTAGGCCAAACGTGCCCATGCACCCACTGCCTGGTAGACCGCCATTCGCGACCACCACATCTTATAATATAGGGTCCCTTCCTGATATGCAAATGATATCAGTCACGGACCCATAGTAGCAACCGTAGCACCTTGTGGCGCCGACAGTACTTCGTGCAACTTGCCATGGAACTCCATCGACACACCCTTGGCGAATCTCAGGATGCGCTTAACATGGCTGCGCCTTGTCACGCGGCACTGGGCAGCCCCAGGACACTTGTCCCGCAGCTTGAGCACCTTTTTTGGTGACGTCGCTGGCTGTCCGCGCGCACCTTGTACAGACAGTAGCTTGACCACTCCACTGTGGCGTATGACCCAGCTCCGCGAACTGGGCCTGCGCCTGCAACAACAGTGTCCCAGTGGCGTCACACATCTGATGGTAGTGATCGCCATCCTCGCCCAGCACCGTGGTGGCAGCCGCCAGCGCCTCGTTGACCGCCTCCTGTCGCCATGGGCTGAAGGCCTCTCCTCGTGCGGAGCCGACGAACACCTCCGCTTGTATGGCTTGCAACCGTGTAGGCCGACAGTGCCTGCGCACCCCCCATCGAAGGTTATCCAGCCTCCTCCTCTTCCTCCTCCTCCTCCTCCTCCTCCTCTCCTCTTCCCGCTCCTCTCCTCTTTTTCCTGGGTTTCCTCTCGCCGCCCTCGTCCTCGGTGCACTGCACGCGCGAGGAAACAACCGAGAGGAGGCATTGGGCCAAGCAGGCGGGGCTGGGCCGAGACGACCTGTCGGATCACCCTTCAGTTGTGGGCTCGGGTTCCGGGAAGGATCCGAACGCCCCTGGGCTGGAGGGGGGAAGCGGCCTCGTCGTCGTCGTCGTTTTCGTCGTCGTCGTCCTCTTCATCCTGTTCCTCCTCTTGTCGTCCTATTGCTCCATATTTGCTTGCAAAGTGCTTCACTGCACATCAGCGAACGCACAACATCGCTGGGGCGCACTTGGGGCGTGCGGAACTGCGTAAGGCCATTCGATATACGAGGGGCACTGCCAGCTCGACCTTACCAACAGCGCATTTTTTTTTTTTTTTTTTTTTTTTTTTTTTTTTTTTTAAAAAAAATAAAAAAAAAAAAAAAAAAAAAAAAAAAAAAAAAAAAAAAAAAAAAAAAAAAAAAAAAAAAAAAAAAAAAAAAAAGGGGGCGCTGCGGGGGTCCCAGAGAGGCCTCGGGCCTTCGGCAAATGGGCAGCGAGTCGACCACAAGCTCGTGGCCTCCATCCCGCCATGGGGACAGGGGCCAACAGCGGCTAGAGACAGGCGCTGGCGACAGACGGCCAGGAGCTGCGACCCTCGCACCTCATCAGCGACGCCCCACGTCGCGGCAGAGGAGCAAGGAAAATTAAAAGATAGAGAAAAAAAGGGCAGGGGGGCAGGGGCAACAAAATTGTAGGCGGAGGCCTACGATGCACCCTCAAGCCACCGCCCCCTGCGAGCAACGGATCGTCCCCGCCGAGGCCTCGGATCATCTGTCTGCGCGCGCACACGAGGGGAGGATGAGGAGGTGGAGAACTGCACAGCCGCCTGAGCCCGCCACGTGCGAGCAATATAAGGGTGGCGGCGCGAGGTAGCTCGCAGCCGAGCTTCGAAGTGCTCCTCAGGGGTGCCAGGGGAGCCTTTCCTCCTGGCCGAATGAGCCGCAAGGAAAGCACCGATGCAAGCCGCAAAGAGAAGATTGGACGAGCATGGTGAGGGTGAAAGCAGGAGGGGGGAGGAGAGCCATGGGGGTTCATCAGAAATAGACGTCGACGAAGTAAGAATCTGTCCCAGCCAGCGAGCGAAGAGGTGGTGAAGTGGAGGACAACGCAAATAGTGGTCAACCGAGTCGAGGTCGAGCCCTGGAGACGAAGGGCAACCCCAGAGGCACCCTTGAGAAGCATAATGAAAGCGCGGCGATGTACACACCGCGCGTGTGAGAACCCGCAGCGGAGCAATGACCAGGTACGGCTGTGTCTGTCGAATCACATAGAACGCATTAGTACAAAACCGATATATCATCGTTTCCGTTGCCTGCGGATCCCACTGAAGCACGAAGCACACGACGGAGAAGAATCTGCTTGGGGTGCTCGCAGTAAGTGGCTCGTTCCCAAAATATGTGATAGAACTTACGCTGGAGGAACTGGTGTGTGTCGGAGACGCGAACGAAGTCGGACGAGTGGATCGAGATCGCCGGAAGGGCGAAATACCACCGATAGTTTACGCATATAAGCAATACAAGAAGACTCCCACCACCCACCACAAACAGCGCACTTCATCATTGTTTTCTGAACGATCGGAGTACGATCGAGAATATCAAGCTGGGTGACTTCAGCAATCCAGGAGGCTGGAAACTCAAGCGGTTGGAATGACATTCGGAACATGCGGAGGCCAGTTGCTGGATAAGTGCGGATGGCTGGCGCAGACACTTTGCCACACACGGGCTGAACCCTCGTTTATCCAGCTCTCGCCCATGCTGGTCACGTCATGTGTATACACAACTCTGGCAAGAAACACACGAGAAAAAATGTCCCGTTTCGTTCAGCTCGTCCCTCCAACGAGACAGGAACACGACGACGACGACGGGGGGAAGGATTTTGAGGACGGTTGAGGGATGGTGGACAAGCGAGGAGGGAGGATGCAGAGGAGGAGGAGGGGGAGAGGGAGAGGGAGGAAGAGGAGGGAGGCACTCTGCCGTAGACGATCCCTATAGGTGTGCCCGCTTTGCCGTAGCAAACCCCAATGGGTATATACTGTCCGAGCTGTCTTTGACTTTTCCTGGGCATTGAGAAAACACTCTTGTGTAGAGATGGGAAAATGCGGGAGAGAGGGAAAAGAGAGAGGAGCGGGGATAGGAGAACGAAGAGCGGAAGTGGGAAGGGAGCGAGCAAATGGTCGGCTACACTGTCCTCCTCCGCTTGTCCCGGCCGCTGTACCTGAGGCAGATGATCAGGGGCGGCAGAGGAGGGCTTGGTAAAAGGAGGATGAGGTCATCATCTCCCTTCTGCTGCTCCTCCTCTCATCATCATCATCATCATCATCATCATCATCATCATCATCATCATCATCATCATCATCATCATCATCATCATCATCATCATCATTATCAATATCATCATCATCATCATCATCATCATCATCAGCATCAGCATCAGCATCAGCATCAGCATCATCATCATAATCCACATCCCACTCCACATCCTTCAGGTCCTCCTCCTGGCGCCTGCGTAGGCTCCACATCGCTCAAATAATCAACTGCACACGCCGCACTGCCCTATGCTTCTCGCTGGTCACCCATTCTTCCCACCCCCCAATCTCCGTGGCAACCTCTCATCACTCGTGAAGGGATTCACTCCTTCTGCTTTCTCTCGAGCCGCACTGGTGCCTCCACGGGCTCTCCAGATGTATATACATCCCTCTGGATTTACCTGTCCAGTTGGATTCACGCCGAATAACATAGATGTGCCTCGATTTTTCTGGCTTCATTTCCACACATCGACTAAAAAAATCCGTCGAGCCCTTCAGCACCGACCCAGAAAAACGGCACGAAGCGTCAACAATGCTTGTTTATACCTTTTCTGTTCCTCCACGGGTGTCGTCGGTCGATGAGTGAGTGAGCAAGGAGGAGGCGAGGCAGATGGGTGAGGCAGACCCCAAACCCTGCCCCGCCCGAGCGGAGGTTGGGGGCAGACATGGGGCCCAAGTGCATAGATGGTGCCGGAGACTCGCGCCGCATCGCCGATGCACCGCCGATGCATCGGCGACGTCGGCGATGCATCGGCGACATCTTCGACGCAATCGTTGAGCAGGGACCGACCGTCACGGCATTCTTATAGGCCTACCACGCACGAAATGGTCTTAGAACCCAAAAATGTTCTAAGATCAAAAACGATGTTCTTAGAACATAAACCCGATGTGTTCAAACAAGACAGTCCCAACCAGACATGTTCTGGGAACATTTCGTGCAGACCACGAAAGGCTCTTGGAACATTCTTTGGCAGGCCTATAGGCAAGCTGGGACGCTTTTCCACTGCTTGAAATCGGGCAACACATCGAGCCACATCGCCGATGCATCGGCGCTGCAGCGCGATCCTCCGACCGCATCTACGCGAACCTCCGACCGCATCAATCGGGAAACGGGATCGGATCGGACGTGCGTCGCATCCTGGAGAACCCAGAGGGTACTGGTCCCGCTACTCTCCGGACCTCTCATGGGGTGCGTTCTGACCAGCAGTTCGAGGCGAATCCAGCTGCGGCGACGAAGGCCTCCCATGATGATCTAAAAGGGGGACAGCGCGGGAAGGGTAGCGGTGCGGGCACAGTGGGACCCAGGACAGAAGAACAACCTTCACAGACAGAACATCCAAGGCTACCCTCCCCAAGATGCACAATCGCATCTTACAAACACGAAAAACACTAGGGCACCCCGAACCGACCTCGATCTCATACCTCGGTCCGGCTGCACGTTTTTAGGGAGCCCACAAAGGACGTACGCGCCCAACTATGTACATGAACACGGCCCCTTGACCCGCGAGACCGGCCGCGTGATACGAGTATTCGCGCAATGCGAAATCTAGAAAACAGCGTGGATTCATGTACGTGTACGTCCTTCTCTCTCTCCTGAGTTTTCCTCCTCTGAGCTCGGAACGTGCATCGCATCGGGCCGCATGGGGCCCTCAGTGGGAGTATCGACTCGGACCGGCGGCGCCAGGGGTGACACAACTACGCCGCGCGAGCATCGGGCCGCGGCGGGCCGCCGGGACGTCGTGATCGAGCCGAGCCGGCCCAGGCCTGCCGAAGGTTTACATCGATAGCGACGTCGATCGGTACGAAAGGGCCCCCGCCAGGCCCAGACCACCGACGTCGTGCTCTTGTCAGCAGCGTGGACCCGAAGGTCTGGGCCCTTTGCCCCAGGACTGGCTGTTCATCCCCTGGCGGGTTCCCTTCATTCATCAGGCTCGGCTCGGCGAAAAAGCCATAACAAGAAAAACAAGAAAAACAGAAAAGCATATAGATGTCATGTAATATTGCGAATGACTGGTCGATATATCTTAACCGATCGGAGGTTGGGGGGTGAGATCGAAATGGAACGGAGAGCCCCCCACCAGGAGATCGGTTTCGGTTTCGTGTTCGTGCGTGCCGTGCGCGCGGGCGAGGCGAAGCTGCGTGGGCGGACGAGAAGAAACTCTCCTGTGGCTGAAGCGCGGCCGGATCAAATGATTCCCCTCCCGGCAAGAGCGCGTTTCTTTATGTTCGGCGATGACGGGCGTCATGGGGGGGGGCGAAGGGGGGGTATGACGTAACGCCCCCCCCCGCCGTGTGGCTCCGGCACCGCAGCTGGCTGCGCCCGCGCGCGCGACGCGACGAGCGACGGGCGACGACGACGACGACGACGACCACGACGACGACGATCACGACGACGACGTCGACGACGCGAGCAGCATGTAGGTGGCAATATTCCCCACTGCGCCTGTGTACACCACAACGCTCGCGTGCACCAGAGCGCGCGTGTATACCACAGCGCCTACGTACACCGCAACAACCGTGTGCAACGCAGCGCTTGTGTACACCACAGTGCTTGCGTAAACTACAACGCCAGCGTACAATTGCACACCGCAGCTACTATGTGCAACGCAGCGCCTGTATACACCACGAAATTCGCGTGCACCGCAGCGCCTGTGCACGCCACAGCGCGTGTTTACACCACAGCATCCGCGTGCAACGCAGCGCTGGTGTACACCACAGTGCCTGCGCGCATAGGACAGGTTGAAGGAGCGTGTACGTGAGGATCTGCTGCGGACAATTAGACGACACGCCAAGAAATTGCTGATAATCGAATGCGACGTTCTTCCCTCTTCCCTCCTCCTCATCATCCACGTCGCCCTCCCCCTCCTCCTCCTCCTCCACCTCCATCTCCTCCTCCTTACCCCCTGTCGTGCGGGTTGGCGCTACAACGCACGTGCGCATGTCAGCGCGCACCGCAAAATTGTTGATTGAATCGGTCCACTTGGTTCTCGGACGGTCAATTTAGCTGTAACCTCCTGGGCGCAAACGGAGGAATTAGCGTGATGCGGGCGGACTCGGGAGGTCACGTAGATTCCAGCGGCGTTCCGTTGTCCATAAGGATCATTTTATATTGTTTCTGTGGAATCCACAAGCGCTCCATTTTGTCATAAGGGTTCGTTATCATATTCTATACACAACAATGGTGTTGTGTTGCACACGGTTGCTGTGGTGCACGCAGGCGCCGTGGTGTACACAGGCCGTGGTGTTTACTGGTGCTGCGTCGCACGCGGCTGATGTGGTGAACGCAAGCGCTGTGGTGTGCACGAGAGCTCTTGTGCCCGCAGGCACGGTGGCACAAACTGACGCTGTGTTGCACGCGGCTGCTGTGGTGTACATAGGCGGTGGTGTACACAAGCGCTGTGGTGCACGCAGGCACTGTGGTGTACACGGGCGTTGTGGTGCAAATCGACACCTACATGCTGGCGCTACCCGTCCTCCGTCATTCCTCGGCATTCCCAAACGCCGCCGGCGCGAAACGTGACGTCATCAACCCCCTCCATCCCGCCCCCTTAATGATTGCCGTCATCGGCCCGAAATAAAAAAACATCTTCAGCCGCGCCCGCGCGCACGACGACTATGAGCGACGAGCGACAAGCCACGAGCGACGACGACGACGACGACGATGACGACGACGACGACGACGACTGCGGACCAGACTCCTATGCGGATTCCTACTCGGACACCTACGCGGATCCCGACGCGCACGGCGGCAGTGCTCGGAGCGCACTGGGGGGCAGTGCCCGGAGCGCACTGGAGAGGGGGGGGGGGGGGCGGGTTCCATGACGACTGTCATGCCCCAAGCAATAAAGAAACGGGCTCCAAACGGGGCCGCGCTTCGTCCCGCCGGTGTCCCGCCGGTCGGGGCTCGCTTGACCGGGGGTCGGCAGACTGGGGGCTGGGGCCTTGTATTTTGCAGCTGCTTCGGGCGCGCAAGCCCCGACGCCCAAGGGCCCTGTCATGCGCCCAGCCCAAATGTTCAACATGATTTCCACACCGTACCCAGTATCCCACAGGGGCGGCTCGTGGCCGGATGAACCCACACGTGCAAGGAACAAAAACTGCAATGCAGAAAACGAATCTGCATTGCAGATTTTCAGATGTCCCGCAAAAGTGCTGCAGAAAAAAAAACTGCAGTTCGGAAACAAAAATCCAGCAATGCAGGAAAATCTGCATCGGAAAGGTCCTGCGGCGGCAGCGCGGCTTGCCTGGCCCGGCTCACTGCACGCAGCTTGCGAGAAGCTCGCTTAATTCGTAACGGAACCGGAAAAGCTGCCGTGGCAGGCCGGCTCCGTTCCGGAGGCCTTCTTGAAGGGATAGGAAGAAAGTTCACCACAGGTCTGCCAACCCTGAGTCTGTATTCCCACGAGCCAGTGCCCCGCTAGTGTCCCGGTAAGTCTCCTGTGGCTGAGGCGCGGCCGGACCAAATGATTCCCCCCCTGGCAAACGGGGGCGCGCGGTGACCCGCCGGTGTCCCGCCGGTGTCACGCTGGTGTCCCGGTAAGTCTCCTGTGGCTGAGGCGCGGCCGGACCAGCGGCAAGCGGGGCCGCGCGGTGTCCCGCTGGTGTCCCGCCGGTGTCCCGCCGGTGTCCCGGTGTCCCGCTGGTGCGAAAACGATAGTGAGACCGACAGTGAGATCGGTTGTGAGATCGATTGTGAAATCGATAGTGAGATCGATAGTGATATCGATCGAGTGAGATCGATGGTGAAATCGATTGTGGGATCGATAGTGAGAGCGATAGTGGGAACTATGGTGAGATCGATTGAGTAAGATCGATAGTGAGATCGATCGAGTGAGATCGATAGAGAGATCGGTAGTGAGATTGATAGTGAGATCGATGGAGTGATATCGATAGTGAGATCGATGGAGTGATATCGATGGTGATATCGATAGTGGGATCGAAAGCAAGATCGAGAGTGAGATCGACAGTGAGATCGATCGGTTGTGAGACCGATAGCGAAATCGATCGAGTGAGATCGACAGTAAGGTCGACACCAAGGCTCCCAATGAGCGAGCGGCAACGCAACAGTCTCCACCGGCATCGCCAGAACAACAACCACCACCGCTGCCCATTGCTGGCCCCCTCCCCCCCAACCTCCTTTCGGATCGGGCGAAAGGGGGGGATAGCAAAGGGGGGGTTTGAGAATCAGCTCACGTAGCTGATTTTCCCGGCGCCTCCCGGCGCCGGAGGCGCCCATGCATCGAGGAATGGGCCCCTCGGTGAAGCCGAAACCAGCTGCACGCAGCAGATTTCGTAACCCCCCCTTTCCCAATCCCCCCCTTTCGCCCGGCCCGATCCTTATCACCCGCAAGGTGGTCGTATAGGTATGATTTATCCGTGAACATTGTGCAATCGTCATCCCGAGTCGTGCGTCGGCGGTCCCAAGGCCTGGCGAGGGTCCCCGGAGTCGGAAAACGGCCAAAAACCTCCCCCGTCACGATGACCTTACGTAGGGGAACAAAAAGTTGCATAAACATAAAAACTAGGAGGTCCGCGCGGATTTCTCGGATCGGCGCTGAACCCCCTCCCTGGCGCGCTCCGCGCGCCAGGGGCGGCGCCGGAGGCGCCGCCGGGGGGCCCCAGCGCCAATCCGAGAAATCCGCCCGGACCTCAGAATTTTTATGTATATGCCACTTTTTGTCCCCCTTATTGACTACCTACCAGACCACCCCAACCCAACCCGAAGACCCGAATTTCGGGTTGGGGGGGGGTAAGGGTTCCACGCGTGTTTTTTCTATGTTTCCCGACCCCCCCCCACTAGAAATCGAGGGTAAATCTGAGCCTTCGGGTTGGGTTGGGGTGGTTTGGTGGGTGGTGACTTATTACGACGAGGGCACGTTCCGGAGTGGACGCAACCTGGCCAAACAACCACCCAGTGAAGACGTCCGGGGACCAGACGCCCGGCGGGCGCAGGCCCACAAGACCTGCGGCCGCAGCACGCCCTCGAGGACTGACAAGGGGCACTGCGCGAATCGACGTGGCAGGGCTGGGTGGGCATCTACAGTCATCGGCCTGACCTAAGGAACGATAAATAAGGAACGAAGGCCCTTTTTATCATAAGGAATTACGCAGAAGGAACGATAAATAACACATAACACATAAGAAACTATAAATAACGCATGCAAACCTAAGGAACGACCGAGCCCCTTTTGGAAAGTAAGTGTTCCTTATTCAAGCCACTCACTGTAGTGCTGTTGTGTCGGGTCGGGCGAAAGGGGGGGATAGCAAAGGGGGGGGGGGGAAATCAGCTCACGCAGCCGATTTTCCCGGCGCCTCCCGGCGCCGGAGGCGGCTACGTATCGAGGAATGGGCCCCTGCTCGGCGAGGCCGAAACCAGCTGCGTGCAGCAAATTTTGTAACCCCCCCTTTCCCAATACCCCCCTTTCGCCCGGCCCGATTCTGGACCGGAGGGGACATGGGAGACAGGACACCAGACCCTGCCGGGCGCTACGTCGCCCCGGCAAATGCAGAGGACGTGGCGACCGAAACGCAGGACGGCAGAGCACCCTGGACTTGGAAGCGTCGAATTGGACCGTCCCGTCCCGGCATTCCCATACTGGACAAGCGCGTTCCAGTGCTCGCAAATGAACTACTCGCAAATGGCCCAGATCCGCTGTGGTGGATTCATTCTATATTGCATAAAAGGAACATTTTTTCGGACGTTCGCGAGTAGGTCCTTTGCGAATAGTGGAACGCGCTCGGCAATATCCGCCTACCAAGAGATGTTCTTAGAGTCAAAACATATTCAAATAACAAAACCCGTGTTCGTAGAACCCAACGCCAATGTGCTACCATCAGACGTCCTCAGCCCACTAAAGAGGCTCCCAGAACACTCTCTGGTGGGCCTAAAGGCAAGCCAGAACGCTTCGCCAATCGAAGGATTGCAAAAAACGAAGGATTGCAAACAATCCATCGAAGGGTTTTTTTTGCAATCCAGGGTTTTTTTGCAATCCTTCGTTCAAGGGAGGCACCTCCGCCGCCAGGCCGACCACTCCGCGGCGCCGAACGCCCCGCCGTCGTCGCCGACGCCGGGCCCGGCCGCCGCGTCGAAGAGGGCGCGCCGCTCGTCCAGGAACGGCACCTCCCGCAGCAGGGCCGCGACCTCCGCCGCGGCGGCGGCGGTGACGACCACGATGACGACGACGACGACGACGACCATGACAACGACGACGACGACGACGACCATGACAACGACGACGACGACGACCACGACGACGACGACGACGACCACGGCGACGGCGACGGCGACGACGGCGGCGGCGGCAGTGACGGCAACGGCGACGGCGACGACGACGACGACGACGACGGCCACGACGACGGCGTCGAGGTCATGACGACGACGGAGGCGACGGCCGTTGCGACGACGACGACGACGACGACGACGACGACGACGACGACGACGACGACGACGGCGACAATGGCCACGACGGTCGGGGTAAGGGGGTGGTGGGGCGCGGGGTGGCGGACGGGGAGCGTCTCCATCGCCCTAGCCCACCCAGAATAGAAGACCGAAGGAGGGGGCGGGACGACGACGGGCGGAGAGCGGAACCAGGGGAGGGGAGCAAGAAAAGGGTGATTGTTTCCGCTCGAGCAATCCTCGCGTCTATGCGTGGTTCATGAAATCATGGGGTGGCCTCTGCCTGGATCACAACGAAACACCCGAGCAGTGTTGAAAATTCTTCTGGTCCGTACTCGAATACCGATCAGTCGCGGAGTGCATCTTTAGACAAGCGCTTTCCACTGCTCGCACATCTGCTACTCGCAAGTGGCCTGGATCCGCCGCAGGGGATTTACGACATATGACACAAAGAAAGGCAGACGTATGTTTTTTCCTCTGACGTTTACCCTAAACACTTTGCGAATAATGGAACGCACTCGGCGATCTTGGAGGCGGCACCCGTGACCAGCGTGCACGGAATGAAACTCCTCTCAAGTTTTATGATGTTCCAACCTACTTTAGCCTCGATCACCAGAAAGAATTTCGAGCACCAAAAAAGTACCGAAACTCAAGGGCTTTCTCGTGTCGGGCCCCGGGAGACATTCGCCCGACACTGTTTCGACACTTTTCCAGGTGCTCGAAATTATTTCTGGGTAAGTACGATGGGAGCAACATAACTCAAGTTCATGCCGGCAGCGTCAGCACAATGGGGGAGGAGATGGGGAGGACGGTGGAAGCAGAGCGCGGGGGAGGGGGAAGGGAGCGGAGCGGAGGGGGCGAGGGAAGGGAGGGGGCGATGGGGAGAGGGCGAGGGAGGGAGCGAGGTTGGAGGAGAGGGCACGGGAGAGGGCGAGGGAGGGGGCGAGGGATGGGGGGGGAACGGGGGCGGAGCGGAGAGGGCGAGGGAGTGGGCGGGAGGAGGGCGGGCGGGGAGGCGAGAGGCGACCAGCGGCGCAGTGGAACCCCGGAGAGCAGGGGAGAGCGGAGCAGGGGCGCCCGGCTTCGACCTGCGCGCGGCGCGGAGCGCGAACAGCTTCGCGCCATCGCGCCGCCCCCCGGGGGAGAAGAGGAAGGCGAGGACGAATCGGGGCCGCACCGCGGAGCGCGAAGAACCTCGCGCCCTCGAGGCCACCCTGGGGGAGGGTCGGGGAGGAGGGGGGGAGACCAGGAGGCGGCGGGGAAGGGGGGACAGCGGGACGAATAGGCGAACGGCCGAAAACCCGCACACCTGAAGAGTGGCATTCGGGCCGGCCGGCGCATGTCCACCCTCTCATTCCTCATCCTCTTCCCCCCTCCTTCTTCCTCCTTCACCTCCTCCTCCAACACCTCCGTCTCCTCATCCCCTTTTCCGTCTTCCTTTCTTCGTCCGCCCCCCCCCCTCCGCCGCATACACGGTTGCGCTTTCGAAGGCTGCCAGATCTGACCCCCTGTTCCCCGTCCATTCTTCTCATCCTCTTGTCCCTGCAGACTCACGCAATGTGAGCATCCAACGTTCTTCCTACGATCAGCATGATCATCATATTGACGGTCATCACCACCGCACGCAAACTAAACTCCGCCACGTCCACTACTACCATCATGGCACATCATACATATTCGTCGTTCGGATAGCGCATTACCCAGACGGACGCCACAGCTCTTCATAGACGCGCTGAAGCTCGAGTCTTTCGCATCGCGCCTGCCAAAGCGCCCACAAAATACATGGTCCAATCAGATCCCGATACGAACTGGTGGGCAACTCTTCCTGCACATCTAAATGAATTCATCTGAGCTTGGAGGACAAGATCTGGCCCTTTGCCATCAGGGTCGAATGCGCGAGCTGATCGCGCCTATGCCCGCCCCTGCGGCGTTACCATTGACTTCGCATGCAAGGAAGACATGGTCATCCACTCTTCACCGCATTGATGACTGCAATCTCTAGCAGATCAAGGAGGCTCAAGATCACGGTAGAGAACAATGAAATTAAGGCTTAGAGGGTCTCTGCTTCGGCTTCGCGGCGCAGTTTTGACTCTTGGATTTTAATCATGCCGTCTGCTGCGCCTGGGAAACTCTGCGATGTTGTACGCCATCCTCCTGTGGCGCTCAATGAGATCCGCGCCGCTCAGGGCGCCGACTCTACTCCAGTCGAGATCATGACGGCGAAGCGCGACTGGTGAGAAAAGGCGTGGGCAAACCAGAAGTTCCAGAAACACAAAGTCCTGGAGGCTTTCTCGCGCATCCGCCAGAAGGCTGTGCACATAAATATGGAGCTCCTACCCGCCGATCGAGCCAGATCCACTCTGTTCAAGACTTCCCCCCAGGAAGGCCAAAAGGCTGCGAGGCCCTCAGTATCCATGCTCGTAGACGATTGCCTGACGCAGGTGTTCAGGTGCAACTTGATATCTACCACGATGTTGCGAGGTGTGTTTCGTAGCCTTGGCAGCGGGTGGTGGTCTCATCAGTATGATACCTACATCGACCGACGATGGCAGCGCTATAGGGGTGGCTTCCCTCATCGTCAGACTGCGGGGAGCTATTCGCAACCCCTCTGGGCCGTCAATGGTGCGAGAGGGCAGTCGGTCATTGGGATGGGGGGATTGCTGGCTCTCCGTCCCTTCGTGCTGTCTTGCTTCGCAACTTTGGTAATGAGGCAGTCCGAGCGTCACGCCTCGATGGCCTGATCCACCTGGGGGTGCTCTGGGACCTCAAAGAGTTTCTATGGATCCTTTGATCGGATAGTTTAGACGACTGCAAGTGAGGAACATCAGTTTCCCCCGCATACCCAGGCCCCGCCATGCAGCAGGGTCTTGCGCCCAGGACCTTGAAGAAGCCCAGGCATTTCCACTTCCCGATCCAGCCACAGAGGGCAATGGTTGCAGGCTTAGCCTGATGCATGACGTATCGTGCTCTGGACAGAATCTGCAGTGCCCACGAGCCAGTCACTGTCAAGTCGTGGGTCGACGACCTCAACGCGAGGAGTTCGCGATCGAGCAGATAGCAAAGGTGGCCACCGTTCTCAGAGATAACTGCAAAGAGTCAGACCTCACAATCTCTGTCAAGTCCAACGCCCTCAAGTCTTCGCCTGTTGCTTGGGTCCTCCTTGAGCAGACGCTGCAGAAACTCGGGCTGAGATCCCCCCCACAAAGATCGAATGGTCGACCTCGGGTTTGACTGCGGCAATTCTTGCCGTGGCAGAGCGAACAGAAAAGAGCTGAGAAGGCCAGGTTCCGCTTCATAAAGATCACCAAGGTCGCTCGGGGCACTCTGCCGCATGGAAGGATCGCGATCCGCCTTGCCACTACGGCGACCATTCCCTGCTTACCCGATGCGGGGAATATGCATTGCACGCCGCCTCCTGTCTCGCTGCAGCGGAAGAGATCTTCGAGAGGCTTGATCTGGAGTGGCAGGTCGCAACGCTCGCCCACGACGCAACTCCAGCTGGACATGGGCCATTCGTATTCCGCGATCCAGACTAGGCGACGAGCGAGGGGGGAAAGTGAGAAGGGGCGGGCCTTCTCAGAAGGCTCGGAAGTCCCCAAGCCTTCTGAGAAGTGTCCCAAGCCTCCCCCGAAGACAAAGAACACTTCTCTGAAGGCGCGAGGGCTTCTGAGAAGTCCCGCCGCCTGCTGAGAAGGCCCTCTCCCTCTCACCACTTCCCCCCCTCGCTCGCCGCCGACCCCTGGAGAGGGAGGAGGCAGGAGGGAGGAGGGGGGAGGAGGAGGGGGGAGGAGGGAGGGTGGCAGGGCGGGAAGGTCGAGGGGAAAAGGGTCGAGGAGGGAGGGGAGAGGAGGGAGAGAAGGGAGGAGAAGGAGGATGAGGACGAGGATGAGGATGAGGATGAGGATGAGGAGGAGGAGGAGAGGGCCATCAGCTCCTGGGCGCTCTCCCCGGCCACCCCCCAGGTCGACAGGGAGCTCGTGGAGCGCACCTGGCGCAAGAGATCTGCGGACCTCTTCGGCCCGGCCGCCCCAGAACTGCTCTCGCCGCGTTCAGGTTAGCTCGGGCACGTCCCCCGACAGGCGGATTTGGACGAAAAGTGCAAACTTATATATATCTATATATATATATATATCATTGTTTAACTCCCAGAATCGTCCCCTGACTTCATATTCCTCCTATAGGGGGGCAGGCCCGACTCAATGTTGTTAAGGGGATGTGTTCTGCCACGGTTCCGCTCCTGTCGCGGTATTCCTCGGGGGCCCTTGGGCCACGGCGGCGGCGCAGCCCCGACGGGACAGTCTTTCGCGCCCCCCCCCCCCCGAAAAACGCGCGACTCGGGACCGGGATGTCTCTGATCCGAAGCATGCTTTTTTCTTTCCAGGGGCTTTGCCCTCTCTTGGCCTTGACGTGAGGCCCCTCCTTCTGCCTTCCCCTCTCTGTTGATTAAAGCTGTGCGCGGCCCGCTTAGCTTCGACCGGAAGAGGTGCGCTCTCGACCCGCGGATCGAAAAGCTGATTCCTTCCACTCAGCGGTCTCAGTGGGCTGCGGCCGCCAAGGAGCTCGCGGGGGGCTTGGTCTCAAGGGGGAATTCCCGATCTCGAGAACCTCCGTCGGTGTCCGAGGAGCCTCAGGCGGGAAGGGGGGCGCGCGTTGTTCGAGGTCCGCCAGGACAGTGCCGCGGGCAGCCTATGACCCGCTCAGCGCGCGCATGAATGTTTTCCCGAGCTGGGTTTCTCTGGTCCCCCGCGCACGCAAGCCCCAGAAACGCCGAGACGCGCCCGCTGGGGGGCGACCCTGCAACGATCGGCTGGAAGGCGCGGCCCCTGCCGCCATCGCTGACAGTGGAAGAAGGGAAAAACATATAAACATGAACTTTTGGGGCTCCACGCGGATTTCTTGGATCCGCGCTGGGCCCCCTTCCCTGGCGCGCGGGGCGCGCCAAGGGCGGCGCCGGAGGCGCCGCCAATGGGCTCCCAGCGCGGATCGGGGAAATCCGCGCGGAGCGCCAAAAGTTTATGTTTTGTTTTTTTCTTCTTCGAGACAAGGCCCGCGCCGATGGCGGTGAGTTGCCATGTTTTTGTCGGCATCGCGGCCTGGTGCCAGGCAGCTGGGTAAGAGCGCCCGCTCCCCCTGAAGAGCCTCCCCCTTCTCGTCCACGGCATCGCCCCCTCTCCGAGGCTTGCTCCATTTCTGGAGTCGCGCGCTGGAGCTGGGGATGCCGGTGGGGGTGAGGTGGGGGGGGGATCGCTCGACCGCGGCAACCTTCGAGAGGTCAGGTCATGGAGGGGCCATTGGAACTAAAGCAGTCCATCAATCGAGGGGCGCTCAGCGCGCTCACCACCTTTATGAAGGCCACGGCGCCCATCCCGATACACTCATAGGCCTGACCTAAGGAACGATACCAAAGGAACGAAGCCCCTTTTTTCCAAAGAGTGACGCAGAAGGAAGTTACTAGTAATAACTGACGCATGAGGAACGATACAAATAACGAATGCGAACCTATGGGGCGACCGTGCCCCTATTGAAAAATATGTGTTCCTTATCCAAGCCGCTCACTGTAGCTGTCCAGAAGCATTTTGTGGCCGACAGGCGCATGTTGACCGAGGAGCCTCGGCCATCCAGAAGGGGGGGGCTTCCCCGCCAGCAGCGTTTCGGTCAGGGCTCCAACTCCACGCGGTGATAGAAAATACGGATGGGGTCTTGCTGCAGGCCTGCACGGTTGAGTCACACCTGTCCCTTTCTGAAGCCCAGGAGCGCTCGGCCCCCCTAACTTCCTTTCATGCCAACAGGCAGGCCGAGGACTCGGCGGCCGAATAGGAGCTTCGGCATGCCCAGATCTGCCTGACTGGGCTTGCTGACAAACTCGCCGAGGTGGTCAGGGAACATCTCTGCTGTTCTCTTGGATTGTGCGCCAGTGCGGGTCCCTCCCTCGCCGCGGCCTGATATTGAACGCGAGCGGATCCAGAAGGCTGTCCGTGAAGCTTTGCCGCTCATCGCAGCCCTTGCGAGCTCCGAGCATTAGATCATGCGCGCCATTTGGTCATTTTGGCAGCGCCCCCTGTGCGATGGACGCCAAAATCGCGTTAGACGTCGTGAGAGCCTCATGTCGGGGTGTCTCTCGCAACCCGGACCCCACGGTCGTTTCCGGCCGGCCCATCCATGGGCCCCACCGTCTTCAGAAAAGGGGCTCAAGGATCCGCGTTCCGTGCACTTTGTGGACAGTACGCCGTGATCAGGGTCCACCCAGATGGGTTGGCCACTCCGCGCAGGCAAATCACCACCAGAGGCAGATACAGCATGGCGGCCTTCCTGATGGGCAAGCTCCCCCAGCGGCCTAGGACGTTTGCTGTGGGCCTGGCAGTGCAAAACAAAAGGGCGTGCGCTCCCTCGTCGCACCCCGCAGCTGCGTCGTGCTCCGCGCGCCCCTCCCGGCACGATGGTGTTTCTCCTTGCGCAGTTTTGCCCAGCCAGCTGTCTGTACTGACTGGCTGCGCACGCTTCGGCCCTGCTGGTGGCTGGGAGGACACGATGCTAGCTGGGCCTCTCTTTGGCCCCCTGCCTTCGCTATTACTCCAAATCCCTTATTAATCGACCCCCCCTCCCCTAAAAAACCAGACCCCCCTCCAAATGCGACCTAATATTCCGGACCCCCTCTTCGATGGGTCGCCTTAATAAACCAGACCCCCTCAGCTCCAATCCAAAGAAAGCGACCTAATAAACCGGACCCCCTTAATGACCAAAAAGGTGCCTTAAAAAACCAGACCCGGGGGACGATTAATAAGGGATCTGGAGTACTCACAGCACCAAAGCTCCCTCTAGCGTCGCTTTCAGGGCCCTCAAGCTGCCCGCGCTCGATCTGGATCCTGGTTCCGCTCGCGGTTGTTCATCTTTTGCCGACTCGAGGAACGTTGATGCAGCCTCTGGATTCCGGAACTCCGAACACGATGCCCTTGTGAATTTAGAACTGTTCCGTGGTCCAGAATAGAAATGTCAAATCTCACATGGAGGCACATTCGAAACACTCTGGGCAAATTCTTCTACATCACGAGAGGGCCTGGCCTCCGTCGGTGGTGTCCTTGCGTTTGCCACCGCGGGCCGGGCCTCTCGACTGCGATGCGTTTTTGTTGGTGTTGTTGTTAATGTTGGTGTTGTTGTTGCTGCTGTTGTTGTTGCTGTTGTTGCTGTTGTTGTTGTTGTTGTTGTTGTTGTTGTTGCTGTTGTTGTTGTTGTTGTTGTAGTTGTAGTTGTTGTTGTTGTTGTTGTTGTTGGTGTTGTTGTTGTTGTTGTTGTTGAACATTATTAATTCTAAAGAATAATTATTGTTGGGGCCCCTGGTGCACGGCCCCCCTGCGCCGCCTAGGCCGCAGCTACATTTTCATCATTTTCGTGAGGAAGCCTCAGGTAATTCGATGTGATCAAGATCCGGTTGTTTTGTTCCCCCCCGCTTTCCCTTGCAAAAAACACTATAAAATGACATTTCTTGTTCTAATATAATCAAATTTCAAGAATCCCTTGCCTTGCAAAGTGGACAAGCGGATAAATTTTGAACACATTCGGCGTTGATTTTAACATAAAAACATCAAAAAACCAATGGTTTTTCAACAAAAAATGTCAAAATCTCATCCCGCGCGCTCTTGCGGATTCGTAGGAAACCCAACACTTTTTAAACATTTCTGTCAAACGGGCTTTTGCGAGCAACTTTTTCGAACTTCTGCGACAACGGTTGCGCACCTGCCAGGGCCATCATCCCTGTCAAATAATACCATGCGGGACACATTCGTTTTTTCTTCGCGCGCGCACGCCGAAATCTCCAAAAACCATTGGGCTTCTTAAGAATTTTAGCACCGCGCATCATAAAATCACACGAATCGCACCGTAGGTCCTCGAAAAACACCTGCACGACTTTTCAAAATTTCTACCCGTGCAACAGATGTTCTGTGGAAGGCTTAACAACTTCTGTGGGTTAACAAGGCTTAACAACTTCTGTGGGTGTACGAACGTAGGCTTAACAACTTCTGTGGGTGTGTACTCCACGCCAGTGTAGTAGCCACGGTCGTCCGCAGGCCACGAAGTGAAGTGTCCGAACGTCATAGGGCGGGAAGCTGGGTGTGGGTGGTGGCGAAGAGTCGTGTGGATATTTGGTAGAGCTTGCACTGCCCCCCCACAAAGTGGGGGTATTGGCTGGCGTCGCATGAAAACCCTGGCACTGGTGAGAACACTGAGCGTTCGGGTAAAGTGATTGTTGTTGTTGTTGTTGTTGTTGTTGTTGTTGTTGTGTGGCAGGCCGGTCCGCGCCGCCCGCCGAGGTCGCCCTCGGCCAGCAGAGAGCCTCGCCCTCTCCCAGCCAGCACAGCTGCGGGTGTCGGAGCGGTCACCCCTCTCCGCGCCCTCGCGCTCCGCCAAGGAGAAAACCCGTTCCTCCTCATCCTCACCCTCATCCTCCTCTAAGATTACGTTGCTCCCATTGCACTTAAGGACCACATCCCAGACATCATCACGAGCACCTGGAAAAGTGTCGAAAGAGTGTCGAAACAGTGTGGGACGAGTGTCTCCCAGGGCTCGACACGTGAAAACCTTCGAGTTTCGGTACTGTTTTGGTGCTCGAAACTCTTTCTGGCCATCAAGGCTAAAGTAAGTTGGAGCATCATAACTCTAAGGAAAGAAAAACACATGCATCTACATGTTGGGAGGTCCGCGCGGGTTCCTTGCATTGGCGCTGGATCCCCCTCCCTGGCGCGTGGAGCGCGCCAGGGGTGGCCCCAACGGCGGCGCCAGGGGTGGCGCCAAGGGCAGCGCCAAAGGTGGCGCCAAGGGCGGCGCCAAGGGTGACCCAGAACTGACACACAAAAAATCCGGGCGACCTTCGAAAATCTATGGTCGTATATGGTTGTTTGATTTTCGATCACCCCCCCCCTTCTCCCGGCTACCCCCCTCCCCTTCCCCTCATCTCGGCGGCGAGCCCCGGAGGGAAGTGGGAAGGGGCGGGACTTCACAGAAGGTTCGGAAGTCCCCCGGCCCTCCGAGAAGCTTTCTAGGCCTCCACCCGAGGCTCAAAACGCTTCTCAAAGACGCGGGGGCTTCTGAGATCGTGGCTGTGCGTGTGTGTGTGTGTGTGCATGTGTGTGTGTGTTTGTTTGTGTGTGTGTGTGCGTGTGTGTGTGCGTGCGTGCGTGCGTGCGTGCGTGCGTGCGTGCGTATGTGCGTGTGTGCGTGTGTGCGTGTGTGCGTGTTTGTAGGTGCGCGGCGCATGTGTGTGTGTGTGTGTGTGCGTGTGCGTGTGCGTGTGCGTGTGCGTGTGCGTGTGCGTGTGCGTGCGCGTGTGCGTGTGTGTGTGTGTGTCTGTCTGTGTGTGTGTGCCTGTGCCTGTGCCTGTGCCTGTGTCTGTGTCTGTGTCTGTGTCTGTGTCTGTGTCTGTGTCTGTGTGTGCGCGTGCGTGCGTGAGTGTGTGTGTGTGGCGTGCGCGTGCGTGTGTGCGTGTTTTGTGTGCGAGGGTGTGCGTCTGGATGCGGATGTCGGTGAGTGTTGGTGTGTCTGTCTGTCTGTCTGTCTGTCTCCCTGTGGCGGGGCGCCGCCTCCTGGCCCATGGCGCCCACGCCGACCCGCGCCGAGCGCTCGAGGTCGCTGCCCTGGAAGCGCCGCGCCAGCAGCCTGAGAGGAGGGCATCGGAGGGGGGAGGAGGAGGGGGGAGGAGGAAGAAGAGGAGAAGGGGGAGGAGGAGGGGGAGGAGGAGGAGGAGGAGGAGGAGGAGAAAGGGGAGGAGAAGGAGGAGCAGGAGGAGGGGGGGGATGATGCGACGCGCGGCTTTGCAAGGTGCGTGCTCGATGGGGGGAGGGGATTCAGAGGACGCTCCTGGGAGCCTTCCGTAATCGCCTGAGTGGCCGCAGTGGCTCCTCCAATGGCCACCAGTGGACCCCAGCGGCCCCCCGCAAGCCTGGAGCCGCCTTCCGTGCCTCCTCCAGTGGCCCACCCGCGGCCTCCAGTGGCCTCCAGTGGCCTCACGTAGCCCCCAGGGGCCCCCAGTGGAGCGAGCAAAACGACTGTGGACCACTGGAGGCGCAGGAAAGCCAGGCCAACTGACAATAAGAGGCTTCCAGGATCGTCTTCTGAAGGGGGGGGTATAACGTAACGCCTTCCCCCCGCCGTGCGCACGGCGGCGGTGCCCGGAGCGCACTGGGCGGGGGAGGGATGGGGGGGGCGGGGGGGCCGGGGGCTATCATGCCCATTATGCCCCCAGCAGTAAAGAAACAGGCTCCGAGGTGCGTGCTCGATGGGGGGGTGGGAGGGAGGAGGGAGAAAGATGAGCTAGGGCTCCCAACTTCGCGCTTCGCGCTCCGCGAAGCGCGAAGCGCGAATAACTTCGCGCCCTCGCGCCGCCCCCCCAAAGGGAGAATAGGAGGACGAGGAGGAGGGGGAGGAGAAACGAGGACCGCGAAGCGCGAAGCGCGAATAACTTCGCGCCCTCGAGGGAGCCCTTGATGAGGCGGCGAGGTGGCCCGCCTCAACGGCGCCCCGCCCAGAGGAGGTCGGCCGGCTTTCCGCGCCGAGGGTCGCGCGAGCGCAGCCTGGAGAGGAGGGCACGGGGGGGGAAGGAGCAGAGAGGAGGGAGGGGAGAGGAGGAAGAGGAGGGGGACCCGTGCAAACCCAAGAGGGAGGAAGGGCGGAGAGGAAGCGAGGACAGGAGGGGTAAAGAGAGGACCAGTGCAGACCCCAAAAGGGGGCAGGAGCACAGCCAAGAGGGGGAAAGGAGGCAGGAGTACAGAGGGGGAAAGGCCAGAGAGGAAGAGGGGGACCAGTTGAAACCCCAGGCGTATCAACGATGTTGTGCACGAAGCCCTCCCTCCAGGCTCCCTCTTCATAGATCGTGACTGCTGTGTGCTGGCATGACAATCCTAACTCACGCCAGGATGCAATCCCTGGGATTTCAGGCAAACGAACATCTAAATCTGCTGCAAACTTGTCATACGAACGTGCGCGGCGCCAAGGCGAGCGACACAGCTTGGCAAGGAACAGCCCTGTATCATCTAAACTGCTGCGAATACTTAAAACGAATGTGAGCGGCGCTAAGGCGAGAGACACCGCTTGGTAAGGAACAGCCCTGTACTGTTGAAGCTCTAACGATTGTTGTTGAACGAATGTGCGCGGCGCTCAGGCGATGGTCACAATCAGAAAAGGAGCCACCCACTCTCCTTGAAATCTGGCGAACTGTTAAGACGAGAGTGCGCGGCGCTGAAACGAGAGCCACAACCTGAAAACGGCTCGCCCTCCATTCTTGAGACTGTTGCCACAGTTCCAAACAGTTGCTCGCGGCGCTAGGGCTAGAGCCACATGTTGGGAACCACCCGCCGTCCATCCTTGAAACTATTCCCACATGTTCAAACGAATGTTCGCGGCGTTGCGGCGAGGGCCACATTTTGAGAACCCCCGCCCTCCATGCCTGGAGGTGCGACGGGGAGGAGTTGTTCGTACATGGCTGGCGGAGTTGTTCGTACATGGCTGTCGCGAAGCGAGTTCGGATTAAGCTTCGAGCCCCGCCGAGCCAGCTCAGCCTGACTTCGAGCCTAATTACGGCTCGAACGATTCGGATATATTCGACTCAAGTGACATCTGCCTGGAAGTATTCGACTCACATGATCGGCTCGGGTGGGGTTCGTCACCTTTTGGAGGGGGAAGGGAGGGGGGGGGCATGGGGGGAAGGCAGGGATGAGCAGGAGGACGACGACGAGGAGGAAGGGGAGGGGGAGATGGAGGCAGAGGGAGGCGAGCGATATGGGAGGATGGTGGAGGATGGACGAGGAATCTCAGAAAGCTAGCGGCCCAGAAGAGGCTCCAACTGAGCCCCAAGAGGCCCCCAACAGGCCCAAAAGAGGCCCCAAGGCGGCCACCAACACGCTTCGAAACTTCCTCCGAGAGGCTCCGCCAGGCCCTCAGGCAGCTCTCAAGGCGCCCACGAGAATCCCAACAGAGTGCCCAAGACACCCACGACGCTTCAACCATGGACTCCACGCCTCGTCTGGGGGTCAGGGGAATAGCGTAAGCCTCTTGAACAACCATAAACTAACGAAAAGACTGAAGAACGTATCCGAGACATCGCCGAAATGCCTGTGGAACTTCTCGCGTCTTGCGAGCCCCTCCGGGAAACTTAGCTAAGATGGTTGCCAGCACGAGCAATCGGTTTCCAGAGTGCGCAAGAATTACATGTGGCATCGCTGTGCCCGAAATGCGCCCATAAAGTCACACCCGTCTCGCATGGTGACATGGGAAAACCAACGCGCACACCGTATTGCATGAACAATCCAAACATGATACGACAACCAACAAAGCTGGCCAAATATGGCATGACCGCACATGCATGTCGTCGTGTCCTCCAGCATTGCATGCTCGAGCTCTTGATCGCGAATACAACAATACAGAAAACACGCTCAGGCAAGCTGGTGTTATCCATACGGACATCAGGCCATCGCCATCATATCAAACGACCCTCGACTGGCCACAAGCGTGACCAACCAGTGCTGAGTATTCCGTGGGGAGATCCGCTTGACTCCCCGAGGACCCCCCCGATCTTCCATGAGCTCCCCGCCCCCGGATGAACGCGCGTGAACCAGTGAGTACTTGTCAGAACTATTTCAGGACACTTCCTCACATACTTACCGCATTCGCAGACTTCCCACTCCTCTACACACCAACCGAGCTTGAGCATGGAGACGCGTGGGTCTGAGCTGGGGGGCGGGGCCGGCTCGGAGCCGCCTCGGAGGGCCAGGGGGGAGTCCGGGGTGCAGGCCCAGGCGGGGGGCTGAGGTGGCTCCCGAAGCAGCAGCAAAGAGATTGATAGGGGGAGACTCGGTCCTGCCATCCTCCTCCTCCTCCTCCTCCTCCTCTTCCTCCTCCTCCTCCTCCTCCTCCTCCTCCTCCTTGGCGCTGATTCAAACGAGTGCGCTTCCAGTGCGCTTCGTCATTGCGCGTGCTGAATAGAGCTTCGAGGTTTGATTCCCCTCCCCTACCCCCCTGGGGCGGGCTTTTCCTCCCTGCCTCGTTCTCTGCTTGATTCGTTATTCTACTTCGTAGTCGTGGAGCGCTTCCTTCTTCTGCTTCGCGATCGCGGGGCGCCTCGCTGTTCTGCTTCACAGTCGTGCTGCGCCCTGTTTTCACCGCCCGCCGCCGCGCGGATGCTACCCTCAAGTTGATTGCTGGTTGCTGCTGATAGGGTGTGCCGGCCCATTCGATATCGCATGCTTCCGGGAAGCTCGCGGGGAATTTCTGCCTGGCGCCCCCTTTTCACGAGGGGTTTAACGGAGACGCGATAGCTTGCACCACATATTCGTGTCCACTGTTTATGACGACCTGTTTGCGCAGTGCTTCTGAAGACATGTTTGCCCAGCGCGAGTCCGGCTCCAGGGCCATTGCAGATTTTCGAGGCCGCGCCTTTGAACCCCGCTCTGAGTGCCACGTGTTCCACCCCTCCCTCCCTTTCTCTGCCCTGCATACCCTGTCTCGGCAAGATGAGCTTCGATCCAATTTTTGTCACAATTCCGTGCGATGCCGACAGTTGTCGCTCGAGGGTGCCATTTGCACATCAAGTCCCTCGTCTTCCTCTTCCCCCTCCTTCTCCCCCCCCCTTCCTCTCCTCCTTCCCCCGCGTAGGGTTGACATGCATAACGCAAGGGCCGTTGACCGAATGCTTGCCCCGACGGCTGCTCACGAAATGTTTGCCCCTGCGCGCGTACCGTATGCTTTCATCGCGTGGTAGGCTGAGCGAGCTGGGGGGTCCATCGCGCTGTCCGCCCCCATCTTCCCCCGCCAAAAATGCCAAGCGCGAGTGCCCCTACGCGCTTGTCGCCGGGAAGTTGCGCTGACTGCTGCCCCGTCGTCGTCGTCGTCGTCGTCAAGGTCGTCGTCGTCGTCGTCGTCCGCCCCCGTCGGCCAGAACCCGATTGAAATGGGCCCCCGGAACCCTCCCGGGGTCCGAGCGCACAAGTTTTCCGCGCCGCGTCCGGCCGCGACGAGGAGAGCCGCCAGGGGCCAGAGGATCTCGATCCTCGAGGCTTGAGGCTCGAACCTGGACGTCGGTGGCCGTTCGGGATGACTCCGGCACCCCCGGGGCGCAGTTTGTCGGTCCCGATCGATTTCTGACGGCCCTGGGTCCCGAAAGAGGCTCCCGCAGGCTACGACGCCGGAAGCCCGCCTCGAACTTCGAACCTCAGGGGTCGACGAAAATAGCTGGCGTCATCGGAGACGCGGCCATCTCGTCCGCCACAGCGGCGGCAGCCCAACTCCACGGGTTTCAGGCGGTGGGCGTGAGCGCGGACCCCCCGAGCTCAGCCCACGCGCCGCTTCCGCGCGGGCGTCTTCGTAAGATTTGGGCGTCTTCAGTCTTCGGCGCCGGGAACGGAAGGGGAGGTTCGAATCTCGAGGATCGAAGTTCGACGAGCTTTTTGTCGTTTTACGCCTCTGGAAGCCGCTTTCGGGCCCCGGGATCGTCGAAAATCGATCCATGGTGAAAAACTGCTTCGGAGGGACCCTGGGAAGGGCCCGGGGGCCGATTTTAATTCGATTTCGGTCATCCTGGGAGGAGGAGGGCGACGACGAGGGCGAGGAGGACGAGGAGGGCGAGGGTTGGACATGACTGGGCGCTCCCGTAAGTTGACCCGGTT